CTGGAGAAAGACTCATTTTATTCCCTTTGAGAAGACACATGAATAGGAGACAAATGAAAAGCACAGCTTTCCACAGCCTCCCCAAATCAGCTTCTGATCCCCAGAGAGTCTATTCAGGACAGGACAAGTATTGCCTTTTATTCATATTGCAGGTTGGTAAGGGACTGCTGGCACCAAAAGCAAAATGTATTCAAGACTGAAACCTCACAGTGAGCTGGAACACTTCATCCTTTCTTCTCTTAACTCAGATTCAAGCCCCAGTAATTGGGGTTAAACACTGGGAACGCAGACACCGTGAACAGCACACACAGCCTGGTTAATGCACAGACCTGTCCCTGGATACACCTCCCTGGAGAGCAACAGGCTGGGCCAGAAACAGCCCCAGGAAGGGTTGTCCTGCTGCAGGGACAGGACTAACAGTCCTGAGCCAACACACCCAGGCAGCCCTCAGAGCACAGAACGTGCCTGTCCAAGTGCTGGCACACCCCTGTGAGTGGGTGAAGACTTTCTGTTCCCCCCCAGCCCATCACAGCATCTGTGTCCCCTCCTGCTCCCAGAGCTCACTTCACAAATCAGGGCTGTGTGCCTAGAAATCAGCTGAAGTGTAAAGGAGGGACCAAAGACAACCGTTCTCTACAATTACACCTGTTCCTTTTACCTCCCAAACGCCCTCCTGCCCGTGTTCTCCACGTGTGGCTGTGCTGGAGCTGCCTCCCCTGGAGCATCGCTGGGTGCCCACCCACACACTCCTGGCTGTGTGGAACTATCAGGCTGTGCTTTGCCTTCCCTGCTGCACAGAGAAAATGAGAGTTTTTGTCAGGACACGGGGATTCCACATATCTGCACACGAGGACTTTTCCCCGTGGGTGAAGCTCCTCTCCCTGCAAAAGCCCTTGGAAGCCACGTGGAGCTGCCCGGTGTGCTGGAGCGCTGATGGCAGGGGTAGGGGGCCTGGGATGCTCCCACAGACTGCCAGATTCATTTCCCTGCATCCACCTGAGCAGTGGCAAAGCTCAGTGGGATGGCAGGGGGTGTGGGATGCTTGCTCCCCATCCTGCAGTGGAACATTCCTCGATGAATCACGGCGCTCCTCGGCACCTAGAGAAGAACAAAGGATTTGGACACAGCACTGATCAAACGCACACAACTATGGAATCAGAGGATGTTTTGGGTTGGAAGGGACCTTAAGACCACCTAGTTCCAACCCCACTGCCTCAGACTTCTCTGGAAACCTCCTCAGTGCTTCAGCTGGTGCAAACATGTCCGGAGAAACCTAATGGTAGGAGTTAGTTTTAAATAGCACACTCAGGCTCTTCTGAAACAAAACGTTCCCAAGGCTTCTCTGCACTTGAGCCGATTTCTTCAGGCATCCTGCCCCATATTTAAGCACCAAAGGCAAGATCCCCACATTAGGTGTCTGGTGTGAAATTTTATGGCCCTGCACTTCAAAATGCAGCCCTTAATAACTGAATCTCAGGCACCTGGAAATCCGTATTTTCCTTTAGAGTGATTAAAAAAAAAAAAAAAAAGGAGAAAACAATCCCTGTATGTTATTTTCATTTCCTTCCCTTTTTTAAGGTTTTTAAGCTGCTTTTTTGCGGCACTGGAAAGTTCCAGCCCGTGATTTGTTGCGTTCTGGTGTGCTAATAGAAACATCCCCCTGACTGCTGCTCACTCTGCAGAGCAGGAGGATCGTAACACAGATTGTAAATGGTTGCATTACTGAGAAAGATAATGTTTCTTTGCACTTTCATTTCCCTGGGTTGATATTTATCGTGGTGGGGGTTGCGTAAGCGTAGGAGAGAGAGAGGGATCATGCATTATTTACCAGTCTGGAATGGGGGAAGGCTCCAGCCTTCCACAGAGTGCATGAGCACACAGCAGTTCCCACCTTGTGTCGGCCTGGGTGGTGGCTGAAGGATTCTAAGCAAATGTGATCGTCCTGCCAAGCCAGAGAGTGACAGCAGATGGGGCTGAGGGTCACAGCTCTGCTCTCCCTCCTTTCAGCTCTGGGTAGTTTATGGTATTATTTATTTCACACTATGACTAGACCAGAACTGCCACTGAATCACCACCACCATCGACAAACTCCTTAAGGTCCAACAGAGCTGAGACAAAATTTCTTGGCCTCGAATGCAGCTGAGAGAAGACAAACCCAGGAACAGGCAGGAGACAAACCCAGGAGCAGGCAGAAGAACAAACCCAGGAGCAGGCAGAAGCCCTTCCAGCCCCAGGATTGTCCCTGTGATGCCACCCCACTGATCCAGCTTCCCAGCACTCCAGGAAGTTGCAACACTCCGAGGTTTATTGTCCTTAAACTCCAGCCAGTGTCAGTGTTTGTCCCCACAGCGCTGCTGCCAGTGCACATAAAATCTGACAAAACAAGCCCATTAAGTGCTGGAAGCCTTGGGAAAGAATTTTTTTTTTTTAAAAAAGAAACAACAACAACAAAACTACTAAATAAGAAATAAGTTAATGAGGAAAAATTACAAGGAACTGAAGACTTTAAATGTTCTTCCAAATTAAGGAGAACAAAGGGAAAGGATCAGCTCTTATTTTTGCAATTAAGGTGTTATTTATGGCAATTTAGCTGTTTTGAGATTAAGCCTGGGTACAGTGCTGCAGAAAACACATCTGATTTACTCCCAAGGCTTCTCATCAGTTCCTATACGAGTTCCAGCCAGGCAGCCAAAAAAACAGGAGGAGTTCTGTGCTCTCAGAGCTCCCTGGCTGCTCCCTGGCGCCTGGAAAACACCCAGAGGATTTATCCCCACGGCGGGAGTCTGGACCAGGACCATCAGCAACAATCCTCAATTTCCAGCTCTGGCACTGGAGCTGAACTGCTGTATCTTTGGGGCAGAAAGCTTCCAAGAATGAGGGATAACACACGGGAGGAGCAAAAGGGAAACCTAAAGGTTCTGGTTCTATGTGCAACCTGCAGGTGAAGAGGAGGAGGCTCAGAGGGGTACCCTATGTTTGCAGGCACTGCCCTGGCAGAGCAAACAGCCCCTCTGCCCTCCCCCAGCAGCCAGGAAACCATCCCATACTCGTGGCTGTGCCATCCACCTCCAGGGACACCTCCAGCAGCTCAGGGGAACACTCCCCACAGGCTTGGGAGGGAGGTGAATGGTGCCAAGGAGCCCCTTCCTTCTCCACCTCTGCTCAGTTTGACTCAGATCATCCAGTGGAGCACCTTGGGATTGCCAAAAAGTCCACATTTCTGTGCAGAGAGAAAACACAACACTGGCTATGACATTCATGCATCTTCTGTAGTATTTCCCCCCCCCCATTACAGAGTTGGTAACACTTGCAGAGAACCTGCACCTGAATTAAGACCACCCACACTATTTGTAGGATTCAGCCCCAGATGCCTTCTGGCTTGTTTCTTTTTTCCCCACAGGCTATAAAAACAATAAAGAAAATAAATGAAAAAAAAAGGATGCAAAGTTTGGTTATGCTCAAAAGCAGCTCAGGGAGGACAGAGCTGAAGGTGGGATGGTGCTGGGAAGACACCCAGCCTCGTGGTGCTGCTGCTCACACACTCTCCCGTTCCAGAGACATGAAAGCAGACATTGCAACACGACAGTTGCAAACTCCAGCAGCTTTTTTATGGCTCTGTTGATTTTTCCAGCCCCCACGGCTGCCTGCCTGGGTATCCTGTTCTTTGAACCCCCACAGAGTAAATAAGAGCAAACCACTGTGGCTCTGCAGGCAGGAGATGTGTCCCCAGGAGGAGCACTGGGTATAGGCAGGGAAAGCTCCCCCTTCCAGCCAGCAAGAATTAGAGCTCTTGGGCTGAAAAAGGGGGGAAAGAGAAACAAAAATCAGGAAAACCTTCCTTAGAGGAAGATCCTGTGAATTGAAAGGCCCTTAAGACTTGGAGGTAAAGAGGCAGGTAATGGTTTTCCTGAGGATGGATGCAGGAGGACGTGAACAGGGATGTGACAGGGATGTGACAGCTTCCAACCACCCCAGCAGAGCTGCTGGAGGCACAAGGGGTTTAACTGGAGCACCTGGAGCTTGGCAGGACATGAGGAACACACTGGCCAGGGCCTCAGAGGGTGTGGAAGGGATTTGATTTGATTTGATTCAGATCCAACTGACCAGAAGATTTCTCTTCTCTTCATTCCCCCCTCTCTCCCAGTAGAAACTTTTATTATGTGAAGTGAAATGTTCATCCTCTGTTGGCTGCAATAGCTCATTCTGAGCAGCTTTAGTGTTTTCTGGGATCAGCCCCCCACTCCATGGGGCTGGAGATGGTGTTCCACCCTTCCCTCTGCCCAGTTATTCCTCTTTTTCCCTCCAGCTCTGTCCCCTGCCCCTTTTTCAAGTTGCAATGAGGTTAAAATAAGAGTATTAACGGCGCTTATCTGATGCATGGGAGATGTGCGAGGAGCTGGCAAGCAGCCAGCAGCTAATAGCAGCATAAAGCAATTTGCTGGGGAAAAAAAAAAGAATTAACATGCTAATTGTCAGGCTGGAGAGGGTGCTGGGGATCGTGGAGAAGGGGGAGAGGAAAAAAAGATATTGATTAGTCTAGATTTTAACAATAAAGGTCTGGGGAAGAAAGGGAGGTTTTGAGGGAATTTTCTTCTTTTTGTCCCATTCTCTGGTACCCTCCCCCAGCTCAAAACCTCCAGCCAGAGCCTCAGGCACTCACGGGAATTTATCCGAAGATCTCTTCCTTTTTAGCATCGTGTCACTGCCAGATGCACCACGGGCTGCGGAGCTGGTCGGCACCACCACGCACTTCTCCCCTTCCCCCGCGGAGGGAAGTGACACAGCGCTGGAGCTGCTGGAGGGGGGAAAGTCATGTTGGACAGAGCCCTGCGCGGTCCCACCTCGGAGCTGGGCTGAGCCGAGGGCAGAGAGGAGCTTTCCCAAGAACTGACGCTCTCCCGTTCCCAGGAAGCCTTTTTTTTTTTTTTTTTTTTTTTTTTGGTGTTTCTTTCTCTGAACAAAGGGACATTGCTCAATTATTATTATTATTTTTAAATTTATTTTTCTCAGAGCAGTTGAGAGGAACGCCTGCGAAGCTGAAGAGGAGGGCTCAGCCTCTTCCCACCAGCGCGCCGTTCTCTGGGATTAGGAAAGTCAACTGATGCTTCCCAGCGCCAGGATCTCAGCAGCACGGAGCCTCCCGAGGCAGGGAACCGCGACGGCAAATCCAGCCGGAGCTCCAGGCAGCAGCTGCCTCTCCCCGCGGATGCCACTTAACCCTGGATTTATGCGCGTCCCGCTCCCGAAATTCGGCTGGAAACCCACCGTGCCCGCCCTGCACGGGCACTGAGCGCTGCCAGCCCGAGCCGGGGCTCCTCTGCTGGAAGAGGCTCTCCCCAACCCCATGCGGGTTCCCGGCACATTCCAGGGGCTCCCGGCAGATTCCCGGAGCTCCCAGCACGTCCCGGCTGACCGGCAGATGAGCCAGAGCATCTCCCCAAAGGAGGCGTGCTGGGGGAACCAGGGCCAGGACACGAGGTACCTGTATGATTTCTGATTAATATTTCTGGATGAATGCCGTAAATATGAGCCGAGAAGATTTAAAAAGGAAACCACCGAGGCGCGCCAGTGAATTAATTTGCTTTTAGACAATATGTGGCTGGTTTGCAGCCCTTTGCCAGCAGGACCACTATTCCTTTCCTATGCCAAAGACTGACCGCGTTCGACTGAGCCCTCCTGCCTGACTTCTGCCGTGGAGGAAATTCGAGCAAGAACATGTATAGTGAATTGCTGAATTCAACCAGCGCCACTGAAGCTCACCTGATCATCCAGACCAACACTCCCTACCTGGGCAGCACCCCCAGACCCGTGAGCTCCTCCGCCCTTTACATGTCGACAGCCAGGGTGCTGAAGGAAGGGGAAATAAATAAGCCGGACCTGGTGACTTACATCATCCTCTTTTTCTTTCTGCTCCTGACCGTGACATTCATCGTGCTCTTCATAAACTGCCAGCTGAAAAACTCTTTCTTTGCCACCCTTCCTTACGACAGATCGCTCCGGGAGGCGAGGAGCCCGTGGAGGACACAGGCTGTGTGACACTCCCCGTTTCCAGCGGGAGCAGGCACCGGGATGCCGGTGCCACCAGGAGTTAGTGCCATGTGCCAGTGAACGGATGTGACCCCCGTTAGAGTAACGCGGGGGGGGGGGGGTGGAAAGGGAGGGAGGAGATGGCTGAAAAAGAAGCTGTCTGCAAATCCAAGTAGCTGTAAATAAAAAAAAGCTCTGTTGTGCAGAGAAGGCTTTAGCGAATTTATACGGTTTTGTCCAAAAAAAAAAAAAGTAAATGATCACCCCGTGATTCCAGACTAAGCTCTGTATGTATGCAAATGTCATCATCCACCCATTCACTGGCCATACGAGGACAATTGTATTAACAACAGTCTCTGATTTGGGCATCTGGTGGAGCTTGTTGCCCGTGTTTATGAAACCAGAGCATCAAACGGAGCAAACACAGTGTATTTACCTCCCAGCTCCACGCCGAGGAGATGAGTTTACTTTCCAGACTCGTTTCTCCCAACTGCTGCTGGAGCTGCACGGTGATGCCGTGGGAGGCCTGCCAGGCAGGGGGAAAAAAAATGAAAAACGTTTATTTAGACTCCTGATTGTCATTCTGTTGAGGGTGTTTTTGATGTTTGAATGCGTCATCCACCGAGTTTTAAGTCACCAGTCGTGTGAAACACTTAATACCTAAGGAATTGTCAACTCTCACAAGCTACAAAGGAAATTCTTTTGCCACGGTATGAAACCAGAATAATCAGGATGGGGGGGGAGGTGGGGAGGGAAAATGAATATTATTAATATCATGTGAAGTAATGGAAGGGGAGAGCAGAGTGCTCTGAGTTCAGCACACAAAGTGGGTAACTTAAAAAGCCATAAAACACAGCTTTGCAGGGATATTTGCTTTACTGCACAGCAGCCCCATTCCTTGCTCTTCATATAAATTAGAAGCAGGATTTATCAGTGTGGCAACAGCTTGACTCAACACCTCCATTTTAAATCATTAGAAATCTGACTTTGTTCTAAAAGCTTCTGCTTAACCCTGGCAGCTGACACGCTGGTTTATAGGGGCTGATTCCTCGTAAACCTGCAGTTACAGCACAGTTCCAGGTCAAGCTGCATGAACCCCAGAACACCATCTGTAATTCCCACAAACAGTGGGCAAAGGGCTTTTTTTTCCTTTTTTTTTTTTTTTTAAACTTTTTTTAATCCCAGTGTCTCAAAATACATCAGAATTGCAGCTGTTCAGAAACAACGAGTCCTAAACCCTATTTTACCTCCAGTTTGGGGTATTGGATCATCTGCCTGTGCAATGGGGTTCAAATGGTGTGAGATGCTGTGTCCCTAAATACATTCTTAACCTGCAGAGTGCAACAGAGGAGCTGTGTGTATATATATTTATATCTACAAAACTTATTTCATGCAGAAGAGGAGATTTTACAATGCAATTACACACCCAAGAGACTTGCACTCAAGCACAGAGACAAAATGTGTATATACAGGAGTCTATCTGCAAGCTTTTTTTTTTTTACACAGAAATTGCACAGTCAATAACAGTTCCATGTCATTGTCTTGGTTACCATGGTTTGTTTTGCTCAAGCTAAACTATTAAACAACAAGTTTTAAGTATTTTACTCTTTACAGGTGGCCAATATTTCCTCTGAACCAAATTTAACTGGTGTAATTCCAGGGAGTTACTCTAATGTAGAAAGCAAGAATAAATTCAAGTGTGTTTCTCTCAGCCCTTTTTGAATAAATCAAGTTTTATGAAATCAGGCATTTCTTATTCATTTCTAAGTAACAGGAGCTTGTTTTCAGCTCTCAGCCATAACGAGTTATGGGGCTAAGAATTTCTGCTGGCAAAAGGCTCAGAGCCTGACAGAGCACATGTTGTGTTGCACTCTCTGTTTAAATGTTCAAGAATAACAACTCTGGGATAATCCTATTTTTCTCCACAGGCTGATTGGAGTATTGGTTTTCTGGCAGAGCTTTTATGCCTGCCCTGTGCTGCTCTCATCAATATCCAGAATTATTCCTATTGCAGGAGAAATTCCATTGAGCGTGTTTATAATGACAGAATCCCAGAATGGTTTGGGTTGGGAGGGACCTTGGAGACCATCTCACCCCAACACCTTCCACTACCCCAGGTTGCTCCAACCTGGCCTTGAGCACTCCCAGGGATGGGGCAGCCCCAGCTTTTAACCCGTGTGTGAGACACCCCTACAGAAAACAGGTGACAAATTCTGTTCCAACAGGCTCAGAATTCAAGCTGACCAAAAAAAAAAAAAAAAAAAAAATCCCCTCTCCAACCTCCAGCCCACGAGAGGAACCCAGAGGCATTCCAGAGGCATTCCAGAAGCATTCCAGAGGCATTCCTTCACCTGCTGTGACCGGTCCATGATGTGCACAACACCTGCGGGGTCCCACATGGATCCTCCATCCCTTCTGTCCCCGACATAGCCACACCATTCCCTGTGTCCTGCAGCAAATCCCACTTTCTTCCCAGTGCCTTTCAGAAGAGCCTCCCCACTCTCGCAGCTGCCTCCCTGCTCCTGGGGCTGCTCCTCAGGGCACACCACAGGTCAGGAATCCCCTGGAACACAAAGGACGAGTAAAGCAGCAGAAATCTGGGACACCAGGCAGGGTGGCCCCAGTTCAGAGGAACTCTTGATGACAAGCTTTGCTGTCAGAAGCTGAGCAGCTCCTTCAACACTTTGAGGAGATCAGCACACTCAACATACACAGCGCTCTGCTGAGTCAGGACCTGCCTAGTAAATAAGGTCCTAACACTCCTCCTGGCCAGAGAAACAACCCATCGCTTCCCCCTGGAAACACCAAGACCTTTTGTATCTGATGCCACCCTTCCCAACACTGGTTTTGTTAACATTTTGGGGACCAAGCAGGACCCATCTTCTCACATTTCCTACTCTAGGTGGGCTTCTCTATGGGTATTTTTCCTCCTGCACTTCCCTTCCCCCCAAACAAAACGAGGAGCTGAGGGGGTTTTTATACCCCACCCCACATGGCCATCACAAGGGACACCTGGAAAGGACTCACCTGGAGGACTCACAAGTCAGTCAAAGTGCACAGCAAGGCAAAAGAATAAACCCTAAAAGCTAAATATTCCACGTCAGCAGAGTGTGGGCCAGACCTGATCCCAGGGGATGTGCTGGCCAAGGGAATCAGTTCTGCTGGGACAAGGCACAGTGTCCCAAACATTCTGCCTGTGGGACTGTTCTCCTACACCTTTAGAGAGCCAGGAGCTTTATCTACCTGACACTGGAAACCTTGGAAATGCTGGCAGATATATCACACTGAGAAGAGGGAAGGAAGAGAGGCTTGTTTTGTGTTGACAGCACATTTGTCTTTCGGAGGTTGTTTGGTTTAAATCCGTTAATCCGTAAAGTCTCCCAGAGAGCAAATTGCTGTCACATCTTCACAAGTTTTTTTCCTTCCTCTTTCCCTCATTTTTGCCCTCCTGGTAGCAACAAATTCCTCCCTGCAGGGCTGAGCATCTGCCCAGGCAGTGCACAAAGTACCACTGGTGAATTATCTTCATGGACACAACCTGTTCACTCCTAAGCTTGCACTCCTAGGTTTAACACACTGTATTTACCTCTCATTTCTCAGAGGAAACTTAAGGAGAATTCCTGCTAAAAAAAATCCTTCAGTTTGACTGTTCACCAGACACCTCAAATCTCAGCAAAGCTGGTCTCCATTTGACAGAAAAGAGCCCATTTTGTCTCTTTTGTGTCTGAAGTCGAAGTCACCCACACAGCTCGAAGCTGTCTGGAGAGGCTCGAGAGTTTGCTGACAGCAGTTTCTCTGCCTAAAACCCTTCAGAAAAATGAGACTTTGCAGGAGTGACTGAATTACACAGCACTTCTTATTTAGTCCTGGAAATAACTTCTGTCGCTGCAAACAACATGGTTATTTCTCAAAAAGAGAATGGGGGGAAAAGGTGTTTATAAGGAACAAAGAGCTGCTAATTTAAAAAGTTTGGGGGTTTTGTTTGTTTTTTGTTTTTTTTTTCTCTGTCTTATGGGAAAAAGGAGGAGTCCTGCAAGGAGCAGGAACACAGAATGGAGATGACCCACCCTTCCCAGCCATATACATTTAAGGAAAATACTGTAGCTAGTGATAAAAATTCTAGACAAAGGAGAATTTAACATGCTGTTTATATGATTTTCTATAGATTTGTGTCTTCATTTCTCACGTGAAAGTGAAGACTTTCAGTATTTTTAACAGAGATGTCCCCCCAGAAGGGCTCACTGTGGGACTGGTCACCAGCAACTGCTTGTCCTGGGTCAGGTGTGACCGTCACACTTGGGACACTCTCGGGATTTGGCTTCTTGCCATCCTTAGTAATTGCAGACTTACCTTCAGGGTCAGAGAACAGGAGGATTGAGAGAATCCCAAGCCAGAGCTTCCCTTGGATTTGGACTCAACCATAGGTGAAGAACGTTGCTTAGAGAAATACGTGAACCTGTGGCCCTACAAGGCAGGTAAGAACAAGGGGATGTTCAAAAAGGACCTGCTGAAACCACCTGGAAATTGTAAAGCCCTGCAGCACCTGCCACGTGGGTATTGCACGGGTTTGGCTGCCTTCCATTGAGGTTTGCTCCCTCTTTTCATGGAAATGTACCACTGGAATTCCATCAGCTGGAGGCCTCTCCTTCAGTATCTTGTGACAGTGTGGATGGACTTTGGAGACCTCTCAGGATGTTTTTAGAGGAAAATGCTGCTAAATATAGAAATATAGGGCAAAGCAAGAGCCAGACTGCCTGTTTCAGCCTATCCACGATGAATGGCTGGCACAGAGTCAGGTCTGACTCCTGCTGTTCCCACAGCACAACGGGAAGCCCCGAGATTTCAGGTTCCAAGGGAAAGCAGAGCCAGCACCATCCCTGAGTGTGGTCCAACGGCTTGTTAATGCTGGCAGCGTCTGAAACGCAGGCCCTACAATCCCACAGGCCCAAAGGCTGCATTTGGCATGTTAAAGGAGTGAGGATTTCCACACCAAGGGCACAGTTTGGGAGAGGCCTTTGGAGAGAGGCTGATTCAGTGCACTGACTTCACCCCCCAAGCACCAGTGGCCCCTGACCAGAGCATCAGTAGCAAAAGGAA